ATAAACGAGTATTATATTTGTGTTTTAAAAATTGAAATGGTGGTGCATTTTTTCTTCTTCATAATTTAAATATTAGATGTTCAAAATCATGATTAACATCATCTTTTCTATATCTCTTTACGTTTTTTTTGTTTGTTATCAAATATTGATAAATAAACAAAAGAGTTTCTTTTTTTTTAACACTTAGTTTTATTAAAACTGATTTAAAATATATTACATCACTGAAGAAGAAATACAAAGAGAAACTAATGGTCCTTTCCGCACCGGAAATAAGTGAAGATAATAATCGTTAATGACACATTAACGATACCAAGATGATATTGTCTCGAATTGAAGGTAGACCATTAGGTGTTCCCGAATCCACAATAGCAGCCGGAGTTCTAAAATCTAGTACGCTAACATGATAACAAATTAACAATTCTCTTAATTTAGATAAATCTCTTTCTTTGATTGCTTTTGTTAATTTTGTTCCGAGTTAGTTTCAGTGAAGCCACCGTTGAACAAGTTTGAACTGCAAAATTTAAATCAAATAGATACCCAAAATTGACTAGAAATAACATAAATATTTTACGAGGGAAAAACCTCAACTAAAAACTTCACCTAGAAAAACTAAAACCAACCAAAAGAATCACAATAACTCTTAAAAACTAGACAACGAATAACATCGCATCGTCTTCTTTCCAAAAACACTAGAAATCATCTAAACATCATGTCGAGCATAGAAACTACTTGTTTACAACTTTCTCCCTCTCACGATGCTGGCAAAAACACCAGACATCGGAGAGGGAGTAAACTCAAATCAGATTTTTCTCTCTCTTTGCTCTGACGAAACAAAAGAGTTATGTTCAAAGCAAAAAATAAAGAACAGGAAAAGACGGTTTCCAAAACTAGGAAAATTCATTTCTTTGAAGGATGAACAACGAAACCGTCAGAGCATGAAAACCTATTGGCAATTACAGATGTTGGTAACAAACTTCGAACCAACGTTAGACCTTGGAGTTTGTGAGGATGTGTGTACCTGAAAGAGACTAGGTGATTCTGATGATCTTCTCAATTAGACAAGAAAAGTGAGGAGCGAAAATCGAAGCATGGTTTTGTCTGTGAGCAATTTCAATCTAGCCTTACATGTTCACATATGTAACGCCCGTGAACCAAAAAGTGGATTTTTGGTGTTGCATCGATCGACGCAGGTGTGGTGCGTCGATCGATGCACGTGTTTAGACTTGCGAGAAGTCGGGTTCTGGGTGTTGCGTCGATCGACTCAGGTGCTTGGCGTCGATCGACGCAGGTATCGGCAGGAGTGTCGATCGACGTCGGTGCATTGCGTCGATCGACGCAGGTGTCGGCAGGAGTGTCGATCGACGCTGGTGCATTGCGTCGATCGACGCAGGTGTCGGCAGGTTGGCTATTTAAGTCGAACAACGGGTTTTTGCGCAGAAAAACAGAGAAAAATCAGAGTGAAGGAGAGAGGATTGAGAGGAGAAGGGATTTTCGTTGTTTCCCTTCGTGTTCTTGATCTTATAGGCTTGTATTGGTGATTGTGAGGTTGTGAGAGCGAGAGAGGATCGTGCAGGGAAGGATTTCGGATTTGGGATCCGTGTTCTTCGTGTTCATCGTGTTCTTCGTCGATTTCATAGATTTTTCTATCCGAAATCGAGGTGAGTGCGTGACCATGGCTTATGAGGGTAAAGGATTTGGTAGGATGCGGTTGATTGTTGTTTGTGGTTGGATTTCATGTTGATTGGTGGGTTTTATGCGATTGACTGTTGTTTGTGGTTGGATTTCATGTTGTACTGGTGGGTTTTGTGCCAGAGATCGATGGAAACGAGTTTTGGAATCGATCCATGAGAGGATAGATTCGATTCTGGGTTCTGCCTTTGGTGCGTCGATCGACGCAAGTGCTATGCGTCGATCGACACACGGGCATTGCATCGATCGACACAGGGGTT